TTCTCCAAGGTAGAGCCAATACGTGCAGGCCACTCGCATCACCAGCCATTTAAATGGTCTCTCCACAGGCCCCAGACTAAGCAAGTTATCGCCTCTCAGGTAATGTCAGGTGCACCAAGCTTTCACGTCACCCTGTGTGCGTTAGTCCCACGTAGTAATTGTCGGGAATATGGGAGATTCTATATGTGTCCTGCCTCAAATCCTGGGAAAGGGTACTGTAACATGCCTAACGAGTACTACTGTGCATACTGGGGGTGCGAGACCATCGCCCCTGCATGGATACCAGGCAGCAGTAGAGATAAATACCTGAAGGTACAATGGGGCCCACGCAGGTGCAAAACAGAACAGGTATGGAAAGGGGGCGTAGCCTGTAAATACCTCCTTTTAAATGTTACAAACCCCCAGGAAGACAGCTGACTGCTTGGGAAAACATGGGGAGTAAGGTAGGAGGCAGGAGGATACGACCAAGGCGGTCTGATCCAGATTAAGAAAGAAATCGCCCCAAACGACCCTTGGCCCGAGACACCACGCGTAACGACCCCCAGGCAGACCACTCGCCCTACAACACCCACGACACCGCACGCTTTTAGCAGCCCAACTTCCAGTGCTACACATCCACTTTGGAAATTGATACAAGCTAGTTACCAAGTTCTGAACAAAACCCACCCGAACCTCACACAACACTGTTGGCTCTGTTACGGAGTGCAACCACCTTATTACCAAGGCGTAGCAATAAACGACACGCCTGTACAGGCCTACAGCGATAATCTGGCCCAATGTCTGTGGGAAATGGACATACAAAGCATCACACTCACAGAAATAGTCGGCAGCGGGATGTGCGTGGGCCAAATCCCACAACACAAAAGGCAATTATGCATTAGGGAAATACACTACACGACCCGAGCAAAATGGTTAATCCCAGCCAATAACACTAAGTCTGCCTGTTCCTCCACAGGACTCACCCCTTGCATATCTTTAAAGGTGTTTGACAAATCCTTAGAATACTGTATCCAAGTGACAGTGATCCCCAAGATCTATTACCACCCCGAGAACTATGTGTACGATTCCATGACTGTCCCAGACCATCACTTGGCAAAGCGGGAGCCCATTACAGCATTGACCGTAGCCCTACTGATGCTTGCAGGAGGTGCCGGAGCAGGGACAGGAATAGCGTCCCTGGTACGTCAGAACAAGGAATTCAGCGCTTTAAAGGCAGCAATAGACAAGGACATAGCCCGGATCGAAGAGTCCATCACGGCTCTCGCGAACTCGCTTAAATCACTGTCCGAGGTGTTTCTGCAAAGGACTGGACATTCTGCTCTTACAAGCAGGCGGGCTGTGTGCTGCTCTTAAAGAGGAGTGCTGCGTTTTTGCAGACCACACAGGGTTAGTGAAAGACACCATGGCCAAGCTGCGAGAGAGATTAGAAAGTTGAAAAAAGGGACAGGGAATCGCAGGACTGGTTCACGTCACTATTCGATCAGGCACCATGGCTTGCCACCTTGCTATCCTCTCTTATCGGTCCCATAACAATACTCCTCTTAGCACTGATTTTCGGGCCCTGTATTTTTAACAAGCTCATGCCCTTTGTTGAGATCCGTCTGAAATCCATCAACATCATGTTGGTTGAACAGCAGCAAATGCTGTAAATAGCGCCTTAAACCAAAGTAGTTCCGCATAGTTTTGCACTAACTCACAATTCTATACCTCAGTGTTAAGACACTTCTCTCTACCTCTCTAGGCTTCCTTTGAGCCACTCGTTGAGCCTTAAAAACTTTTGACCTCTGTGACCTCTATGACAGTATTTTGCACTTCTTAGATTATAGCCTGCTTTATATGGCATGGAGAGGGGGGAAATGTGGGCAGACAGGGCCTGGCGTTCGGAAGATTTCGGGATGTACGGGAAGGCAGGGACCACCCCCCTCCAATGCCTGACAGCCAATAGTAGCTAGGGGATAACATAAGCAGACGGAAGTGCCAATGTAACTAAACCTTATAAAAGGCCGTGTTACAAGCTAATAAACGCCGTTTACCGTCCACCAAATTGGTGTCTGCAAGTTCATGGCCCGAGCGACCAAGAGGGAGTCGCCGTGTCTTTCCTGAACCAGGTCGCCGTGTTCGCAGAAGGGAAAGGGAATTCCAGTGTGGGAGGGGTTGTGTTAAATCCCGTGAATCCATGGATACTCCGGTGGGTGTTAAGGGAGTGCCGAGGAGGAGCTGGGATGGGCCGGGATGTCCCGGGTTGCAGAGCCCAGGGCCTGCCCTGCAGACAGGGATTTGGGAGCCAGCAGCCGGGCTGTTCCCTGGATCCCTCCCGTGCCCGGTTTGCCTGACCCCGGGGCGGAGGGGGAGGCCTGTGGAACTCCGGGAAGCTGCTTCCCAATTCCTGGCTTCCCCTCGATGGAGAGGGTGGGAGGAAAGACAAGGGTTTTGGCGCGGGTCGTTCCCGTGGGATCGGCTGCTCCCATCGGCTTTATTGATTTGTCAGGTTGGAACGTTGGCACAAGCTGGGAAAGCGGCCAGAGCCGGGAACGCAGCACGAGCCGGGAACGCTGCACGAGCCGGGAATGCTGCACGGGCTGGGAATGCTGCCCGAGCCGGGAACGCTGCACGGGCTGGGAATGCTGCACGAGCCGGGAACGCTGCACGAGCCGGGAACGCAGCACGAGGGGGCAGCGCAGCACCCGAGCGTGGACACCATCCCGGCGTCCGGATCCGGCCCGAGCGACCCCGCCGAGCGCGGGCGGGCACTGCCACCCCGGGATCCGGCACTGGCATGGGGCTCCGGCATGGAGGAAACTGCTGGCACAGCAACGGCGGCACCGGGCAGAGCTCCGGCACCAGCAAGCGGCACGGAGAGCAAAGCTGGCTCAGCGCAGGGCACGGCGCAGCACGGAGCATCAGCACGGGCCAGCCAGGTACCCCCGGCACAGCAGGAGCAGCAGGAGCAGCACCAGCACAGAGCTCTGGCACAGCACAGAACACGGGTACAGGGCACTGGCACAGCACAGAACACGGGCACAGAGCTCTGGCACAGCCCAGAACACGGGCACAGGGCACTGGCACAGCACAGAACACCAGCACAGAGCTCTGGCACAGCACAGAACACGGGCACAGAGCTCTGGCACAGCCCAGAACACGGGCACAGGGCACTGGCACAGCACAGAACACCAGCACAGAGCTCTGGCACAGCAGAAGCAGCAGGAGCAGCACCAGCACAGAGCTCTGGCACAGCACAGAACACAGGCACAGAGCTCTGGCACAGCACAGAACACTGGCACAGAGCTCTGGCACAGCCCAGAACACCGGCACAGAGCTCTGGCACAGCATGCAGCAGGGTGCCAGTCCCCCTGGCACAGCAGAAGCAGCAGGAGCAGCACCAGCGCAGGGCACTGGCACAGCCCAGAACATTGGCACAGGGCACTGGCACAGCCAGCACACAGCAGTGGGCAAGATCCAGTCCCCCTTGGCACAGTGGGAGCAGCAGGAGCAGCACCAGCACAGCACGCTGGCACAGAGCAGGATGCCAGAGCCAGCTTTCCCCTGGCACAGCAGGAGCAGGTGAGCAGCACTGGCACGGAACAGCAGCACAGAGCACGTGCCAGAGCCAGTTTTCCCCCTGGCACAGCAGGAGCAGCACCGTCACAGAACACTGGCACAGAGCAGAGCACCAGCACAGCACACAGCAGGATGGCACAGCTGGTTTCCCCTGGCACAGAGGGAGCAGCAGGAGCAGCACCAGCACGGCACGCTGGCACAGAGCAGAGCACATGCCAGAGACAGCTTTCCCCTGGCACAGCAGGAGCAGGTGAGCAGCACTGGCACGGAACACTGGCACAGCAAAGAGCAGGAGGCCAGAGCAGTTTTTCACTGGCACAGCAGGAGCAGCAGGAGCAGCACTGGCACAGCACAGAGCAGGAGGCCAGAGCCAGTTTCCCCTGGCACAGCAGGAACAGCACCAGCACAGAGCAGGATCCCTGGCATGATGGGAGCAGCAGGAGCAGCACCAGCACAGAGCAGGATGCCAGAGACAGTTTCCCCTGGCACAGCAGGAGCAGCAGGAGCAGCATCAGCGCAGAGCAGGATCCCAGAGCTGCTTTTTCCCTGGCACAGCAGGAGCAGCACTGGCACAGCACAGAGCAGGATCCCAGAGCTGCTTTTTCCCTGACACAGCAGGAGCAGCCCCACAGCCCCACACGGCTCTTGGACACAAACAATTCCTATTTGCACTTTTCCCCAAACCAACCCTTCTGCAAAGGGCAGCACTGGAGGGGTGATGGCAGCAATTCCCATTTCTCCAGGCCAGGGACTGACATTCCATGGCACTGCAGAGGAAACGGCAGGAAGAGGCATCAGGGCTTTCCTCTGAAGATGCTGAGGGATTTTGGAAGGTCTGAGAGGGGAGTGCCGAGGGTTCTCCAGAGCACCAGTGAGGTTCCAGCTGATCCACGTGCGTGGATCCAGCAGGAGGGTTGGGATTTCTGGAACTGCCTCTCGAGCTGTATCACATCCAGCTCACCCAGCCCCCTCCCAGCTCACCCCGAGGATTCTGAGCGCAGTGGGAACGTTAACCAGCAGAGATTTGGGATGGGGAGTGGAATGTGGCAGATGGGAAGCTGCCCCGGAGCTTTCCAAGCCCTCTCCTCCCCTCAGCAAGTTCCACCTGACGGCAAAGCAGGGAAAAAACAGCTTTGGGACCTGCAGCGGGAAAAGCTGCTCATTCCCAGAGGGAAACGGATCCATTTGGGGTTCCTGCAGGCCCCACTGGGAAGGGGCTGCAGGGGCTGCCCACGCCCCAGACCTCCCTGGGCCGCTGCTCCGGGAGGACGCGGCTCCCCACGGCTCCCGACGTCCCGGGGTGGAATTCCCAGCGCTCGCCGAGTCCTCTGCCGGCTTCCCGGAGCTCAGGCAAAGCCCCCCGGGCTCAGGCTGGGCCTGGGGCTCGGTCCTGCTGCAGGGAGTGGCTCGGGACCCCCCGGGACCCCCTCGGTCCAGCACACCCGTGCCCGCCCGGGCTCACGGCAGGGGCGAGCGGTGCTTGTGGAAGGCGCTCTCCAGGAACGTGGCCAGCTTCTCACAGTCGTCCTGAAATCCAAACGTGCCAACAGCTCCCCTTGCTGGGCTGTCCCGGACACCTCCGGCCTCCCACGAGCCCGTCCCCCTCTGCTGGCACCGCTGGGGCATCCCAGAGCCTGGGGGCAGCCCTGGGGTCCCCAGTGCAGGACACTGAGGGGCTGGAGCGTGGGCAGGGAAGGGAAGGGAGCTGGGAAGGGGCTGGAGCAGCAGGAGCAGCTGAGGGAGCTGGTGGGGGGGGCTCAGCCTGGAGAAAAGGAGGCTCAGGGGGAGCTCCAGGGGGACAGGAGGTGACACCAGGTGGGGGTCGGGCTCTGCTCCCAGGGAACAGGGGACAGGATGAAATGGCCTCCAGCTGTGCCAGAGGAGGGTCAGGTGGGAATTTCCTTCCTGGAAAGGGCTGCCCAGCCCTGGCCCAGGGGTGGAGCCCCCATCTCTGGGAGGATTTTACAACCCCGTGGGTGTGGCACTTGGGGACAGGGGCAGGGGTGGCCTTGGCATCTGTTGATGGTTGGACTCCATGGTCTTGGAGGTCTTTTCCAACCTAAATGATCCTGTGATTCCTTAAGGAAGGAATGAGCCTTGGGGCTTCCCCTAGTTCTCAAACTCAGATTGATTTAAGATCCCTGTAATTAACCTGCCCTCAAAATGGGATTGTCCCCTTGGAACAGGCCCTGGAGCCAGGCAGGAGCAAAACCCAGAGGGAAGAGGAACCCCAGGAAAGGCTGCCAGGGGCTGGTGGTGGAGGAGCTGCAGCCACTCTGAGGTGTCCCAGGGATTTGGGAACAGCAGGAGCACAGGGCAGTGCCTCACCTCGTGGATGAATCCATAATGCACCAGTTCTGTGGCCAAGTCCTTGGAGTTGTCAGCTGTGGGGACAAGGAACGGGAGAACAGGAATGCTGGTGCAGCTCTCGGAGCTCCTGGAAGAGCCTCTCCCAGCGTGGAGCACAAGGAACTGCTCATCCCAGGGGAACAGGGCACGGAGCTGGGCAGGGACCTCATTCCCATCCTCCCAAAACACAGCTCTGGGCGACATTTCCCTTGGGGAGTTTTTGTTTGGCAGGGAAAGCACCAGGCCAGGGGCTGCCATGGAAACCACGAGGGGCTGGAAAAGCAGCAGCTCCCAGGACCATTCCCAAGCTTTCTGTGGGAGTTTTGGCTGTGGGGCAGCCCAGGGACTCTGGCTGCACGGCCTCCAGAGGCTCCTGATCTTCTGGGAAGGGCCCTGGACCTGCTCCTTTCCCCGGGGCTCCCTCAGAGGAGGGCCCACCTTCCCTCTGGAAAGGGATCGTGGAGGCTGTACCAGTGCTGGGAATGAGGGAAGAGTTCCCTGCTGTGACCCCGGGAACTGCCCACCGTGGGTCCTGGGGGGAAATGCAGGTCTGGATTGGCCACTGGATCCACTGGATTGGCCACTCCCTGCCCTCCCAACTCTCACTTCATGTGCAGGTTACTCCCACGTGCCAGAGGGAAGGGAAGGGAAAGGAATAAGGAAAGGAAAAAGGAAAGGAAAAAGGAGAGGAGAGCTGGCCACAAACACACTCGGTGTCCAACACACCCTGAGCCTAATCCCAACAAGGCCACGGGGATTCCCCCCCATCCCCACCCCACATTCCCTCCACAGGGATCCCCCCATCCCCACCCCACATTCCCTGTCCCTGAGCTCACTGGGCAGGAGGTCGTAGCTGAGCTGCCGGTGCAGCTTGTCCTCCAGGATGAGCAGGAGTGTGAGCTGTGGAGAGAGGAGAGAGCCCTTCACATCCCAGGAGAGCCCTTCCCAGCCCAGGAGAGCCCTTCCCAGCCCAGGAGAGCCCTTCCCAGCCCAGGAGAGCCCTTCCCAGCCCGACCCCTCCAGGAGGGACACAGGAGCTGAGGGGGTTGGTGGCTTTGTGCTTGTTATCCAGGGACAGGAGTGAGGGCTCCGGGTGCAGGAACATTCCAAGCCAGGTTTCCCAGTCAGATATCCTGGTCCCATTTCCCAGTCTGATTTCCTGGGCCTGCCTCCCAGTCCCAGTCCCCAGTCAGATTTCCCAGTCAGACGTCCCAGATTCCTCAGTCCCCATTTCCCAGTCGCAATTCCCAGTCAGACATCCCAGTCCAGTTTCCCAGTGCCCATTTCCCAGTGCCCATTTGCTATTCCCATTTCCCATTCCCATTTCCCATTCCCATTCCCCATTCCCACGGGAGCAGGGCCCAGTCTCCCCCCCAGTGCCTCGAGCGGATCCGGAGCCGACACTCACGTGCCACTGGGACTTGTCCTCGTTGAGCTCCAGGTTGCACTGCATCTGCACCACCTGGGAGAGGGGAAACCGGGATCAGCCTGGACATGGCCCCCCCAGCTCCCTCTCACTGCTGTCACCGAGCATGACTTCAGAATTCCCACCGAATCCCCGTCATTCCAGCTGCCAGCCTGGCCATCCTCTGCTTCCCACGTTCCTGTGGGAACAGCCCCCTGTCCAGCCATGACCCCCCTGGAGAGGGACAGGAGGAATTTTCATCGGTGCCACCTGCTCTCCATGTCTCTCCCTGACGTCCAGGGAGCCGTTGGGTGGGAAGGGACACCAGGGGTGGGTGGGAAGGGACACCAGGGGGGTCTCTGGTCCCAGGCCCTGCTCCAAGCAAGGCCAGCAGTGAATCCAGCCCAGGCTGCTCCTCCTCTGCCCTGCTGGTTTAAATCCTCCAGGGAGATCCCCTGTTCCTGACCTCCCACTGTTCCAGCACAGTGACAAAATGCCCCTTGGATCCCCCCAGGGTCCGTGTCCCAGCACTCCCAGAGCAGCCACAGGCTCTGCACAGCTGCTCCTTCGGGATTTACAGCTTGTCCAGCTGCAAATGGACAAGTTTTCACGGAGCCTGAGATTCCTGGTCCTTGTCAAACTGAGAAGGACCGGTGGGACACCCTGGCCAGGCAAGTGAGGCACCTGCAGAGCTGCCCCCGGGGCACTGGCTGGAAAAGCAGTTTGTATCCCACGGGAAAGGGACCACACGGTTCCCATGCCCAGTCCTGACGTGTCCCATTGCTCCCCCCGGCTCCCAAGGACCCCAAGCCCTGAGCAGGGGGACAAAGGCCCAGGGAAGTGCCCTGGGAGCTGGTTCCCAGCAGAACCAGGATGGGCTGGCGCTGCTGGACTCTGGAAGGGAGGAATCCCACGGGATCTGATCCAACCTAAACCTTCCCTGACACAACCTGAGGCCATAACCCCTGCAATGACCTCCAGGGTCGTATCCCCAAGGGGGGCCAGAGCCTGGTGGCACCTCTGGGTGCCACTGCAGTGCCAGTGTCACCAAGGATGGCACTGCAGCCCCCCCACCCCCGTGAGGGGCAGGGATGGGGGTGTGAGCAGGGAAGGCAGAGCCGAAGGGCTGGGGGCAGAGGGTCCTGCTCCAGAGGGTCCTGGGGGGAATGGAGAGCAGGAACTCCAGCCCGTGGCAGCCCTGGGGCTCCCCCAGCTCTCCCCTGGGCCACGGATAACGGGATAACAGGGGAGCAGTTCCTGCAGCTGTCGGGATGGAGCTCCCTGTTCCCAGTCTGACCTGGCTCCGGCCTTACCTTCCTGGTCTCCACGTCAAAGGGCTCTGGGGTGGGAGTCTTGGCTTTCTGGGGGTCCTCCTGGGGCTGGGAGAGCACACGGGGGAGGGCGTGGGGTCTGGAGACGGCGAAGTTCATCAGGGGGTAAATGCCATTCCTGGGGCAGACACAGGGGGGACAGAGCTGAGCCCTGTCCTGGCAGAGGCCCTGGAAGGCCACGGAGCAGGGATGGGCAGCACGGGCACACCACGGAGGGGACAGCACACTGAGCACCTCTGAGGGAGGGGACAGACACTCCCTGGGTGCCCATCCTGGCTCCAGGCTCCGGGGGAGTGAGGGCAGAGCTGGGAGCAGAGATGGGAATGGAACT